GCCGAACAAGAAACTGAAATTCCCGACTATTCCTGAAGAATTGGAAATCTCTGATCCTGAAAGCGAAAGAAAGTAACAAAAAGGCTTTGGCCATCGAACTCGAAGCAAGGAAAGAGAATAGGGCATGGTACAAATTGTAAGAAGGAAATCGGCATTAGCCAATCGCGAGAAAGAGAAAGGTAAAAAGCTAGGGCTTCGGGTCGGCATTCGCATTCCCCCTGTTGACGTCCTATCGAGTTGCGTGTTGCTTCTCAAAATGACAAATAATAAAAATAGGAGGGAGTATGTTTTTTTTAACTTGTCTAGTTTTGTATTTTCGCCCTTTTTTTCATTTATAAGAAAGTGAAAAAATTATTTGGTGCACTATGCCATGTAATTTTTTTCCTTGTACGAATTATGTGCAACCGGTAAGAGATATTCATTAACATTTATAAACTAAAAATGCTCATTAAATAATAATTATAAATTGAAAATATGAAATTAATATGTAATACATTAGAACTATATTAACTTAATGAAAATATGATATGAAATTTAAAATTGTGCAGAATTATATTAAACATGTTTATTTAAAACTAGTACAGAACCCGTACGGTGTACAAACCGATAATAAATTATATTATATTCATTTCAAAATTAGTATATTTTTTAAAAAAAAATATTCAAAATTTCGATTTGATTACAATGTGATTCCGTAGAATAAATATTTTAGTAAAAAATTATCATCTATTTAAAAATCTATGTGAATAATAAGTATAATTATAAATCTTATATTGTGCATTAATTAAGACGAAATTATTTTTTGTATAAACTATTCATATCAAAAATTTTAAGTTGTCGAGTAATTTACTAAACTATAAATGATTGACTATTTTGTTACGTCCAAGTTAAAATTGACACGTAAGTTATGAATAACAACTTATTTGACTTTTCAATTTGGAATCTGTTGACATTTGAGTTAGCCGAACGCAAACTGGGAGACGACGACTTCTAAATCGGGTCGGTATCTTCGACGATTGTGGAGTGCCGAGCTGAAAGACAGATTGGGATAATCGCAGCTAAACTACACCATTCCTGGGACCGACACCTCAACAGTGGAACGGCCGGGGCCGACCTCGTAGATTGTCGAGTTGAGGGGAGGACTCCCGAAGACCATGGAATGAGAAAATGCTCAAGAGCCGACCTAGAGATCCTGCATGACCGGCTCCCAGGCGAACGCAGTGCTCGGAAAGAAAATAGTAATGCCACTTGGCAGCGGATGATTGCCGATGGGACAAGCCGCCCTAGCCTGCCACCCTATGGTATCTAGCCCGATAAAATGTTTGTCAGCATTAAATGCCCACCATGTGTGCATTAAATGCCTGACAGATGATGATTAAGAAAACCTTAAATCGCATTAAATAATTGTTAGAGCGGTACCGATCTGCCCTGCAGAAGTACTATGCGACAAGACCGGTGAACAGTGTCTGAACAGTACCTGATCTGGAAGCACTGTAAATATAATACCCAATTCATTTATTAGGTTGTTGAACCTCAACTACTACTTTCTCTCTCTAGAACCTGTGAAATTTTTTTGTAATTATCTCCAAGTGTAAAGGAAGTACCGACCTCATTATCAAAGGCCGACCTCGTAATTACTTAATAAAGCTCAATTTAATCGTATTTCTTGCCCATCTTTATTCCTAACTTTCATTAAATCATATTTTAACCGTTGGTCAGATCCGTCCATCAACAGAACCCAAATCTGGACTACACACTAAACTCCCTTATATATTTCATATATGTGTGTGTGTGTGTGTGTATATAAATGTATTATCTCATAATTTTCTAGATTGTTGTCGGTTACATTATCATTCAAATTTATCAACTAATTCAAATTTCAAATTTTATTAACTAATACTTATTTAAAGATTTTGCTTATTTTCAAGAGGAATACATACCAATTTGATGAATTAGCGTCAACATCGTATGACAAGTTATTATGGAAATATGCTAAAATTTGATAATCATATCACATTGATTTTATAACAAATCTGCCAAAAACTAGTACAGAGTCTGCGCGATGCACGGGGTACACAATTTTAAGGCCATTTATCCAGCCTTATAATTATATAAATGAATAAAGAAAAATGTACGAGATATATATAGTACGTGACTTGTGCGAAGCACGAGATAATTTATTTGGAGATTATTATACTATAAGATGCAATATTCAATAAAAGTTTACAATACACGAAAATAAATACAAATAATGTAAATATCTAAATACATACACGATATGTAGAATAAATAAGTCAAATTGCAAATCTGAAAATATAATTAAAAAAATCAAAAATATATTTCACTAAACATGTACAAAAGTATCTAAATACATACACGAAAATAAAAAAAATTAAAATATACGTTTCAAATTTCGAAATTAAAACAAAAATTAAAATAATTTGGCTTACAGTTTTATTATGCAGAACCAACTCAAGCTACGATTTGTATGTGCTGCCCCAGTCTTGGAAAATATTCTCACAATTCGAACTTTGAGCATAGGTCTATTAGAAATATTGAATTGTTCGATTAACCCAAATCCTTGATTAATTATTTTGAATAAAAGACCGGTAATACAATTGGATAATACATAAAGCATTTTTTATTTTGGTGGAGCCAATCTCTATATACAACAAATAAACCTACCATATTAATAAAATTATATTAATGTTATTTAAGTAATCATAGAATATGGTAGGTTTACTTGTTGTATATAGAAGGTTGGCTCCACTATGGAGCCAACCGTTGGCTACATAACAAAACCGATACTACAAAGATCTATAAGATTTTATAGCTTGTTTCATGCTAGTAAAGCATACCTGACGATAATTTGCAACCAAAAAAATGGATCTTTTTGATCTTTTATTATTAAATTCCATTATCACGAGACGCGGCTGCATAATCCGTCAAATTGGCGCTCTATTTGTATGGAAATGGAGTTGGATTCGGAGGTTTTATGGAAGGAAGATAATAAACAAAAAACTAGCAAAACTTGTCAAGAAAATAAAAAATTGTGCCAAAGGTACAATTTAAGAGAAGATGTGTTGTGAAGTGCAATTTTTCAATTTATCATTTTCGCTTAATAGAATGACAGGCCACGTTACATTCTTGTCCGTCATGAATCGATTATTGTTTTGAAAGAAAAAAAAGTGACAAAAGTGCAATTTAATCGTGTTGTGAACTGCAATTTTTCTTTTATACAGTTTGTGACAAAATGACTAAATCATGAATTGAATTTGTATTAAACCAAATGAACACTCAAAAGCAAAGACAATCAGATTATTTATCATAACAGTAAAAGGAGTATAGCAAATTTACCATTCATCTCCAATAAAAAACTCATGCAATCAACAATTACGTACAGTCACAGAGGAAAAGTGAAGGAAAGAAAACAAAAAGTTACTGTTCCCAGTAAAAAGGGACAATGAAAGCAGAAAATACGCAGTAAGTCCGATTTACTGCATTCTGGGGCGCGGACTGTGAGGCCTCACGGGTGTTTTTGAAGGACTTACCCTGTTGCCAAAAATAGTTAACCGAATTATATTTTTCCCGAGAAGAGAAAAAAATAAAAAGATTAATTTAAAGATAATAATGAAATAACGAGCTTTTTTTCGTAACTTGAATGAATTTTACCTGATGCGTTGGGATCCAAGAACCTCACCACAACAATCGAGCGCCACTATTGCACTCTCAGCCTGAAAAAAGAAAATGTGTTTCAAGAACTAACCTTTTCAACTTTTTTTTTTCTTTTTGTAGCTCATTTTTTACATACAAGTGAATTGTTGAAAACATGCTATAAAACACGATCTTCGAAAATCATTGCACATTTTCCCTCTCTCTCTCTCTCTCTCTCTCTCTCTTGATCTCTTTCTTTCTCTCTCTCGACACAATAATAATATGAGAATATTTAAGTGGCAATTATACTCGGCATAAAGCAAACATATACCAAGTAAAATTCTACAAAAGCAATTCTAGTCGAGTGCACGTGATCCCCAAGGAACCTCAAGCGTGAGACCTAACAATTAAGAATCTCACCGCGATCATTGTACATTAGAAAGTCAACAATTTGCAAAAAGAGTCGAACCTATTACGGGACTTTAATTGCATTACCTCGCCACATCTTGTCTTGAAGAAATTCTTGACATCAGCTTGAGTAACCTGCTAACAAATATCACTTCAAGCATGTTTTAAAGGTAAATTACCATTTAGACTTGGTAATTAAACTAACTTTTCAGAACCGTCCATTTACCGCTCATTCTCAGAACACCTTGGATATTTTAGATGAAAATCTAACTCTTAATATCAAATATTTAACTCTTTGGGTGAAGTAGACACACATATAATTACCCCAAAAAAAAAAAAAAAGAAAAAAAAAAAGAAACAACAAAGATGCTATTTACTACCTTCTTATCACTGTTTGTGCAGTAGACTGTCCTTGCGCACATCTCACGTTCATCCTCTGACTGTAAAAAAAAAATAACATTAAGTAAAGTTAAAAGATACAAATTTTAATTAGTTAACGTAACTTTGAGGCTGAAAATTTTATTTAAAAAAAAAAAAAAAACATTTTTAACAGCTTAAGCAGTGCCAAGGATTCCTTCTTACTCTAGGAAGGAAAGTTGGGTTAACAGGTAGAATGGCAGTTTTGGAAGGCAAAACTTTCACGGGGGAAAAAGAAGAAAAATTTAATAATAAATACCCTTCGATTGGAGGAAGGGAAAAACTCCTTGGCCGCAATGGGGTTCAACTTGAGCTTCTTCAGCATATCAACAATTTCCTTCATTTGCATTCCCGATTTCGGGTTCGGATCAGAGCCCTTATGACCATCATCAGCCAGCCACATCAATAGAATCTGAATTATCAATTTTCCCTTCACTAATGTTAGTCTTAGCAACAACTGCGGCCTCACCAGAAACCTCTGCACCAGCAGCCATTGGATCAAAAAGGCACTAACACCTTCACGGCAGATAACGACACTCAGAGCAACTTGATGTCGCTTAAGTAAGGTCTCGGGTTCGAGTCCTTGTGGATGCAGAAAACCTTTATTGGGAGACTCACCCACCACTACCAGGTGTGCGACCCGAGTCGACCAACGAATTAGTCGGGGCAAAGCTCTGGAACCGTGGCTGGCTACCATTGAATAAAGGGTTTTCTCTTGTTTATCTCAGATTTGTGTGATCTCTGTATGCAAACCTAGCTAGATCCTCTCAGTGTAGGCTTAACCATAGAAATTAACAACAGGGCTAAAAACCCATATGGTGGAAAAGGCTGTAACAGATTTTTGATCACATGTGGCAGTGATGGTTTATGTAAGGCACCAACAGCAACAGGTGGCCTATGGCTTTGGGCTTCTCTCTCAAGAGTCTCAACCCTTCTTTTTTCTTTGGTTTTAGAGACAAGGATAGTAGTGTAAAATGTGAGTGGGATGGGATGACTGAGCTTCTCTTTTTGTGTCGGGATATTTATGGCTTTCACTTTCATAAATCATCTAATATAATAATTGCCCCTATTGTTTTTTTCTTGGGTGGTGTATTTATTTTTGGCTTTCACTTTCATTATGTTTTAATTTTTTGATAATGCATTTACACTAGGGTTGTAACCAAAAATTCTATGGCGCCATATGTGACATCATATTATGGTGCCACAACATGATGTGGCACATTATGATTGGTGCCACAAACATGATGTGTGGTAAAGAGCACCAATCATAATGTGTCACATCATGTTGTGGCACCATAATATGATGTCACATATGGTGCCATAAAATTTCTGAGATTG